AAGATTGATAGGTGAAATAGTTCGGGATTACAACCTTCAGCTGGAGCAACCGGGGTGTAATAGCTGGTTCAAACCACAGTCCCAGCAGGTAAGTTTGTCACAAATACTATTCGTTATTTCAACCTTCGAATTCATAACATGTCTCTGATGTTTAATTTTTATGTCATTTAGTTTGAATGTTTGTACCTTGCAACTGCAGTTGTATGGAAAAAGTGATCATCAATGGGAAGGTCATACTCTCGAGGGGAATATATTAGTAAATTTTAGTGGTAATAGAGGAGCTCAGGCACAAGTTTCATACTGCAACGATAGCCCAGGTAATAGATCTCTCATCTTATGTCCTACTGTATATAATGTACAACCCCTCAACACTGGTCCAATACATAGAAGGGAAATTATAGCAGATAATCATGGTCTAGTTAAAAGTTTCTTGCAACCTGGACTGGTTTCCAACAAGTCATTAGGACGTAATGTTGTCGAAAATTGCAGCTCAAACAAGCTTTCTATGATCCCTTTGGTGGAGAAGGTGAAAACACGAAAAATGAAAACTCCTTTGAATTTCCGATCCAACTTCACAGTAAAAACTTATATTTTGATGAGGTGGAGGAGTTTCAGTCTAAAGCACTACTCGACTCTAACGGCAAGGACCAAAGAATATTTATTTTTAATTATGCCATCCTCCCACTAATCAACAGCAACAGGGTTCATAGTGCTAATCTATCATGTATGGGGAAATTCAGAAAGAGAATGAAGTCTGATGTGAAGAGTTTGAAGAGGAGATCTAATTGCAATGATACCAAAATGCACCATTCTTACATGTCACCTATAGCAAACATGAAGGACATTGAGTGTGAACTCTACTATGCTGAATCCCGTCCACCAGGACAAAAATTTATCAGTCATCAACTTCATCACCGGAATAAGTATAGAAGGAAGACACCAACTCAAGAAGACTGGCGTTCCCCATTCACATTCCATGAGAAGCAATCATCTCCCCGAGAAAGTAAATGTAAATATAGTCGGAGGGGATCTTGCTGCAGCTGCTGGTTTAGCTATGATATGGGCTCTGATTGCTGCTTGGAGCATCCGTGCTATTTTCGTACTAATGAAGTTATAGATGATTGGGAAAGTCCTTCTTGGATGCAGAGAGGAGGAAAGTATACTTCAGGAGGTTTTTTAGCTCCAAAACATGAACAAGAATGGATAACAGATTGGAACTTCCCACTTCGGAAGCCAACCAAAACAAGATATCAGAAAAGTTCTGCTGATTTCAGTACCATGGCAATTCAGAATGACAGTGCTAATAAGCAGAGCAAGAAATTGGGAGGAGAAGCAGAAAGACAGGATCATCTATCCAACTATGCATCTTCTCAAGGATCGTGCTCGAGTGTGTCTACTCCTGACATTAAGGTGGCAGCACAGGCACCTTATTTACTGGCCAAGGCATTGCCACATGAAAGGCATAACAACGCAGCTACTGACAGCATTACACGAACGCCCTTGTGTCAATTGCAGCATTTGAACAGCAGAACCACCTCATCTACCAGCCATGTGCATCCTAAGCTACCGGACTACGATGAACTGACAGCAAAGTTCATAGCTCTGAAGCAAGAGTACCTAAAAAGTAAGAGCTGCTTCAGCAAGAAATGAGAAACTAGCACTGGAACTGGGCTGCGTTGTTAACTTACTGTTGTATCATGGCACCAAGTATCTCTGATGTTAAATGTAGCCTGTCCACTTTGTGTGCTGCTGAAAATGAGGGGTGGCTTATCTCTATTCTTTATTTCCCATTTTATTTTCATTCATGGATCTTTCTTCCTGAGTTTACCTTTGCTGTTTATTATATTGCCATACTATTACAGGACAATTAATTTTTAATCATTTTGATTTGACCACAATCTCTCCCTTCATGAATCTAAGTACAACCAAACTAACTGCTTGTTTGGCCCTGCAGTTCAGAAAATTTTACTTATATATAATGTAAAAAGTTTCCATTAGTTGTAAAAAATGTTAACAGGGATTTTGGTGTAAAAAAAAAAAAAACTCAAATTTGGTCTGTCCAACCATCAATTTAGATTTGGTCATGAGTTTCTAAATAAGTTTAGTAAGGAAATTTTGGGCCACACATAGCCTTGTGAGTGTTTAGGAATGTTTATGAGTCTAAATAAGTTGAGTTAGAATATTTATGTGCGTCCAAGCATTAACATATATTTGATATTGTCATCAACCACATGCAGTCTCTCATCCTGTCCGTTGTGTCCACATAGGTTGGCCAATTATCGTGAAAATACTCGAGGTGGCCTTGACAGGGTTCGAGAATAAATTTTAAGTTTAAAAATATAAAATGACTAATGAATTTGACAAATATTAACCATATATGAGTTTGAATACTTAATTTAGACATCACTCAAACTCTGAAATAAGTCAATTGATTAAATCAATATCGATGATAAGAAACTTAGTTCAGTTGAATTAGAGGATGGTTAGCTCAACATGTACAGTGATCACTAGATGTAAACAAGATAGCTAACTAACAAAAATGTAACAATCATACTTGACAATAGAGGTATAGTCATAACTAGGGTGCCCGAAAAATCATTAGAATTGATAAACTGGACCACACAGAAACAGAATTGCATGATTTGATTCGTTTATATGATTAAGCAGTTTGGTTCCAGTTAATAAAAAAACTTATTCATTGCAGTTCGATTCTTATTGGGATCTAATATTACTGAATTGAACTGGTCGGAATAGTTAATGACATAATTTTTAAGTACAATATCACTTCTTCAATTTCGATTGATAAAAAAAAAGAAAAAAAGAAAAGAAAGTTATCATAATAAGAAAATAAAAGTCACAGTTTCAGAAAGACAATACTTGTCTACTCATCGATGAATAAGTCATTCATATTGATCACTCATGTGATCCAATCACAATGCACACATATAGTCTATGATTGCAAAACCAAGAAAGTGATAAGTAAAAAAATTAGAGGGGTTGACTGATTTTATTTATTTTTAAAATTATTATCCTTATTTATCATTATTCTAATTTTGTAATCTAAACTATGTGTACATTTGTGATTGGATCACGTGAACTTTCAATATGGACAACCTACTCACCACCTTTGAGTAGGCCATTGTCCAAATGAACCAAATAGAACATTTATGATATGTTTGGTTGGAGAAGAGAGGAGAGAAATAAGACATAACTATCTACAAATTTATAATTTACAATTTAAACCTTTTAAATTTTTTAAAATAAATACTTACCTTTTATAATTTTATATAAAAAGGTGTATTGGTATCACTCCATTCATCATTTTTACTCTTCATTCCATTCAACCAAACATAAAATGGGATAGACACTCTCCCTTCCTTGGGCATATCTCATCCATCTCTCCCCCTATTTATTCCATCAATTTTTCCATTCCTTCAACCAAATGAAGCATAACATGGTTTGAATTTTATTATTTATGAGACCGTTTGGTTTTGTTTAGGGGCGAATATATTTTATAATTGTAGACTATATATGTGTATTTGTAATTAAACCACAGTAATCAATAAATAACTTACTCGAGTAAGTATTTTTCTTTATAAAATTGTTCAAAATTTTGAAATCCCCTTTATTAGGATTTTAAAATGGTTAAAATTAAATTACTAAATGATTGATTTACAAAAAAATAAAAAATAAAATATTAGTCCCCCCAAAATTTGAAACAACGCTTATAATAGTTTAAATTAAAATAAGTAAAAAAAATTTACTTACCAAAAAAAATTACATTAAAAAGTAAAACTTCAAGTTAATATATCATTTCAATTTGAAATGTTTAAACCCTTATTTTTGAAAATTTACATCCATACGTTAAAAAAGATATAGAGTATAACCCATATTTTTCTACTTCCCCTGTTTTACTATTTTGTAACTTTATATATATATATATATATATACACATATATATTTTGTTTGTCCTTTTAGATATTTGTATTTTATATGCCCAAATTAAACATATTATGCATGGATTATAAAATACTTTTATTTATACATTATTTTTTTAGTTATTTATTTATAAATTAAACATATTATGCATGGATTATAAAAGTACCGGAGTATTTTTTATTTACACGTGATTTTATCTTATTATATTTGTTTAATATAAAAAAAATATAGAACCCCAAACACCTCAATTTTGAAACATTTGAAATTAGAATAGGAGGGGAAATAAAATCAGGTAATAAACAGAGCCAGATTATTCAAACCATATACAGCGTCACATCGAGCGACGTGCAGGCAAGGGGTATTTTAGTAACTATGGTAACCATAGTAATTTTCAAAATCAAAGTATATTGACAGTAATACCCCTATACGTGCCACGTGTTTGTTACACACAGCCCAAATACACATTTTTTTGGTAAAACAGACTAGTAGATAAACAGTCCACAAAATAGCCGTTTTAATCATCCCACCACTAAACCTGCCGGCAAAGTAACGATTAAGAGAAAAATACACATGTTTCAGCAACGGTTCTATAGTAAGTCTTTCTAGAGATCTTCCTACACCCGTTAGATCATAGCATTTTGATATCGGACCCTAAATTCCGTTCGATCGAAAAGACTAACAACTGTTTCTATAGTTTACTATCGTGCAATTGGTTGTGTCAGATTACTCCACTCTAACATTAACCACATTTTTTTAAGAATAAAACTTGCATTTATTTACAAGCGCACTGACCTGCGCTCTTCGGCACTTCTCTCATTTGGGCCCCTCTCAGACCCTACAAATTACATCGCTCAACCAAAATAGATCCAACAAACCCACCCACGCGCCATAAACGCACGCGCAGATGACACGTCAATCAGTGGGACCCACATAGTATAACCATTGGATCGTGCCCTGACGCTTTTAAATCGAGAGTGGCTTTCGTAATCATCAAAAGCGTACAACTCAAAATACCCCGACCCTCACTCTCTCTCTCTCCTCTGTTTTGAAGAGGAAAGATAAAGATATTGTACGCACTCTCTCTCTCTACCCTCATTTTGTCATTTGTTCTCTCTTTCTCTCTCCGTTCCTCCATCTCGCCGGCACTCGGCAGAGAAAAGCGAATAAAAACTGTAAAAGAGGACGCTCTCTCTCTACATTTTCTCTATCTATATGTAAGAGTAAGTTATAGAGATCGATAGATATATAGATATAGATTTTTTTTTTATTTTATATATATATAGGGTGCAATGTCGACGGAAGATGAGAAGTTGTTGAAGGAGGCGAAGAAACTGCCATGGGAGGATCGATTGACGCACAAGAACTGGAAGGTGAGGAATGATGCGAACATTGACCTCGCCGCCGTCTGCGATTCCATCACGGATCCGAAAGATCATCGCATTCGCGAATTTGGTGAGTTAGGGTTTCGTTTCTGTGGCACGGATCTGATTTGGTAGTTTTTTGTGATATATGTTCGGTGGATCTGTGTTGAGTGTGTGTAATGTCTGGTGCTATGTTAGGGATTGTGCATGTTGATCTCTCTTTTTTGGTTGTTGATCAGGGCCGTATTTCAAGAAGGCTGTTTCGGATTCGAATGCTCCTGTGCAAGAGAAGGCTCTCGATGCGATAATTGCGTACTTGAGAGCTGCCGATGCTGATGCAGGAAGGTATTGCATCTTTTGGTATAGTGATTAATTTGTTTTTTTTTTTTTTTTTTTCTTCTTCCTGTTGCATGCTTTGGGGTCCACATTTTGTATATGTATATCATTTTGAATTTGGAATTTGATTACCTATTCCTATAGGTACGCGAAGGAAGTATGTGATGCAATTGTGGCTAAGTGCCTCACTGGTCGTCCAAAGACAGTGGAGAAGTCTCAGATGGTGTTTATGCTTTGGGTAGAGTTAGAGGCTGTTGACGCATTCCTGGTATGTCTGAGTTTCTCTCCTCTTTTGGTTTAAGTGGAGTGTAGCACTGCATTTCGTGATGACATTATGATTGCCTATCAACTAAATTTATAAAGGAGAAATTGACTTATTATAGTACCTGTAGACAAAATTGTATCAGCTTCATCGTTTCTACCTGTGTTGGATTCTTCTAATGTCATACCAACTAGATTATTTAGCGGAATATTGACTTCTTCTAGAACATGTAGAAAAATTGTATCAGCTTCATCAGTTCTAGCTGTGTTGGGTCATTCTAGCTTTATTTAGTATCAGACTCAGAGTTTCTTACTACTCATATACAACATCAGTGAATTGTTATTAAATCACTTGAAGCAATACAAACTTCATTATTACTTTATTGTTTTTCCCCATTCAGTTTTAATATTAGAACCTGTAGCTTGTTTACTTGGCTGAAATTAAATTCTGCTTTGGGCCTTTTTTAGAATCTCAGGAAATTTATAATGCTCTTTAGGTGGTGCCACATGATTCAGCTTTAACAGGGAAGATGTGAGAAATATGCTTTTTTTAGTGTCATTTTTTTATTTTTATTTTTATTTCTCCAAGATTTATGCATTCAACGATATGATTGATACTTCTTAAACAATATACAAAGTTGGTAGACTATTTTTCTTAATTCCTTTATTGTGGGTTTTCGAATTGCATATCTAACTTTCCTCTCTATTAAAAGGGAAATGCTGAAAGCAGACATTATTTCTCAAGTAGTTATGAACTACATAGATCAGGTTCTAAAACTTAATGGGTTTTAATATCAGAAAATAATTTAGCTTAGTAGCACTTCCTTACCTTTTAAAGTAGAAGGTCGAGGGTTCAAGTACCCAAAGGGGCATGCGGGTGTGTGAGTTTCTTGTATGGATAGATTTTTTCTTTAATTTTCTTTATTTTATAGAAATTCATGTAGAAGCGAATGGTAAAGTTTGTGGTTGAGATGTACAAATGGCTGCTCTTGATGAGAGAGAGATTGTGAGGATAAATGCTATTGATGTCTGGTTCGATGATTGAATGCCTATAAAGTTTTATATGGCTGGTCTTGTTTGTGGTGTGAAACGTTGAGTAGGAGGCAACATGTTTATCGAATGATCATTATAGAAATGAAGATAATTGAATTTGATGTTGTGAAATAATTATAAATAGGATAAATGATTGCATGTATTATTCTGTATCTAGAGATGCATCAATTGATGATAGAATGTGGGGCAATCATATGGATTTGTTTGGCAGAGTGCAACAAAGATTAATGTCAAATGTCAGATTAATCTTTGCTTAATAAAAGTTTCTTATCCTTTTCCCTGACCCTGGCTAGAGTTTGTTGATGGAGTGACGTTTGAGATGACAATTGAGTGTCTGGAATGTTTTTGACTATTTGTCATTATCTCGGAACAAGATTCTACATTTAGGATTTTTGCGGATTTAAAATGTAAATTTATCAGAGCTTCTACTTGCGATGAACGTTAGGACTATGAAATTGAATCTCATGAAATTGTTCTGCAGATGGCTTCATTATGTCATGGGGAATAAAGGAGATGGCTACCGTGTGAAATTTGTAATGTTGTTTGGAATGTAAGTCTTTGATCTAGGAAAGTGATTGGCTCTAGCTTTTTCAAGGCTTTTCTTTCCCATAAGCTGGTCTTCATAAATTGGACAAAAGCATTAGATAAAATCTTCAGTGTTGACCATTTAGTTCCATTGAAGAGGTAGAATTTATGCAACCCTTAATTGGGACTTATGGTTTGTATCTTCTTCCATGCTCCATTCCAAATGAATTTGGAATTCTATGCTGCCTTCAGTGGTAAAATATTGAGAATCTTTTCCTACGTATTGTGCAATTGAATTATTATTATTATTTTTTCTGTGTTGTGTATAAGTGGGAATAAGATTTTCAAGAGCAACATCAAGATGGCCCACTAGAGGTTTTTGCTTAAATAGTTAATATAGATTATGATAATTTTCTTATAGTCTTTCACCTCTTGCCACTAGAATTTCTTCTCTCCTACCTTTTCCTCTTTCTTATTATTCTCCCCCTCCCTCTTTAGGCCTCAACTATTCGATTGAATAATATATTTTAAATTCCTCAATAGTGTGAAATGATCCCGTGCTATCAAATGTGGCTCTAAAAGTTTCAAGGTGGAACTGAGGATTAGTGATTTAGCTACTTAAAACATAGTGAGTGTATCTTGAGGAATATTGTATTTAACCTTTTTCTGAGTACACAGCACTGCAGTTTGTTGTTTGTTTCCCTTAAAACCATGCCATACCATGTCAACGCTGCACTAATTTGATTGCGGGGTGGGATTATCAATTTTTGCGCTGTTTGCTGCACGTTCTAGATTTATTGCTGCTTTCACAAGTAAAGCTTTCTTTTATTAATAGGGTAACATGGTTGTATGGAAATTATATCTTATTTAAATGAAGCTTCAAGCGTGGGTTATATTGGCTAGTGTAGTGGTAGAAGCTCGGGCTGTCAAGTATGAGAATGAGCATTAGAATTCTGACAGCAGTTGGTGCGAATAATGCCAAATGTTAGGTCTCTATAAATTCTTCTCCTAGCACCACTTAAAGGACCACTTTAGGCAATGATTCTTATTTATATGAGCTTTAAGTATCTTTACTTGGTGGCCTGTACCTCTTAGTTCAGTTCCTGAACCTTTATCTATAGGTTTATATGGATCCATTATGTAAGGGCCTGTTTGGCAATCACTGCTGCTTTTTGCTTTTGCTTTGACCCGAAGCAGAAGCAATGTTTCTGCTTTAGAGTGTGTTTAACACTATTTTGAAGCTTGTTTGGTAACGTAAATTTGTTGCAAGATTTTGGAGGCAAAAATAAGAAAGCATAATTGGTAAAAAGTGTTGCAAGTTTGGAAAATTGAATGGCTAGCTAAAAATGTTGTTTTAGATATTTTTTTTGAATAGTGCTTTGCTACAGAGTAGAAGCAAACAAAAGCATCATTTTTATGCTTTTGATTTTGGCCTAAATTTTGGAAGCGCTTCGGTACTATTCAAATGACAACAAACGTTACCAAACATGCTTCGTGCCTTTGCTTTGCTACAGTACACAAAGCAAAAGCATTAGCCAAACGGGCCCTAAATTTATACCTGCATTTGCAGCCATCTAAAATTGGTTTAAGATTATAGAAAGGTGATTGAAGCCCAGAAGACACTGCTTATTCCTGCTTTGCTACAGTGGTCTTTTATATTTCATTTAAAAGTTTCTCTGCACATTTCAGTGTTAGAATACATTTCGTTTTGATGTCTCAGTTGTTGCGCTTGATTGGACTGTTTTCTTTGTTCCTTATGTGGATTGCTTTAATGGCAGGATGCTATGGAGAAAGCAATTAAAAACAAAGTTGCCAAAGCAGTTGTTCCTGCAATTGATGTCATGTTTCAAGCGTTAAGGTTTGCCCATAAGTATTAAGTGATGGAATTTTTTCATAACAGTTCTTTTTGGCTAATTTGAGGGATCCAATGTTTTTTGTTGCTTGTAATTAGTGAATTTGGGTCGAAGATTGTACCCCCTAAAAGAATCTTAAAGATGCTTCCTGAACTTTTTGATCACCAAGACCAAAATGTTCGTGCTTCATCTAAAGGACTTACACTTGAGCTTTGTCGTTGGATTGGGAAAGACCCAGTGAAATCAATATTGTTTGAGAAAATGCGTGATACAATGGTATGTTAATTATTTGTTTCTTTGTTTGGTGTCACTTCTATTTTTAGATTTTGAGAATAATTTTATTGTTTCATTTTTTTATGTTTTAAGAAAAAAGAGTTAGAGGCAGAGCTTATCAATGTCACTGGGACGGCTAGGCCATCTCGCAAAATAAGGTGAACCTTCCATCATGGTTTTTAGTTTAATACTATTTCTTTCCTTCCCTCCTTTTTTTTTTTTTCTTTTTTCATATTTTGTATGATTGCTTTTCTTACGTATTGTGGCTGAATATGTTTATTCCAATTTATTGTGGTTAAATAAATAAATTGGCCTGAAAAATGAAGATTGGAATAATTATGTTCAGCAACAATAGGTAAGAAAAGTGACCATACAAAATATGAAAGAAAATTAAAAACAAAGGAAAGAACATTTTTGGTGTACGTTCTTATTCTTATTGAGTATAAAACTAAAGGAAGAATATTGTTAGCACATAAGTGCTTATTTTCTTCGTAGGTTTATATATTTGTTGTTTATTTTATCAGATCTGAGCAAGATAAGGAACCGGAACAAGAAGCTCCGTCTGAAGTTGTGGCCTCTGGTCCTTCTGAGGAATCTGGCACAGATGGTACTTGATCAACCCTATGGATTTTTTCCCCCTATTTTTATTTTATTTTATTTTATTTTTATCAGAGAGGTTGAATGAGCTGTAGAATGAGCTTTGTGACTGCTTAAATCATGTTGCTGAATGCTTGGGCATATTAACTACTGCATCCTTTCATTGACATGTCGTACTTGGACATGATGGATATCTTGATTGTCAGTTCCTCAGGAAATTGATGAGTATGAGCTCGTTGATCCTGTTGATATATTGACTCCTTTGGAGAAGTCAGGCTTTTGGGACGGCGTGGTTAGTGATCTCTTGTTTGTCACTTGATCTCATATTAATGTTATGAAAGGAAATTTTGTTGTGGTTTTGCTTAGTCTTTAACATTTGAATATATTGTAGAAAGCTACCAAGTGGTCAGAGCGAAAGGAGGCTGTTGCAGAGCTTACCAGGCTTGCTTCAACTAAAAGGATAGCTCCTGGAGATTTCACAGAAATATGCCGAATACTTAAGAAGGTAAATTAATATTTTTTTTGGTTAGTTTAACCTTGTTGCATGACTCAGTAGCACTTTTAAAGCAATTAATATATTAGCAAATCATGGACATTAAATTATTTTACTGCTGAATTGAATTTTATTCGAGTTTTTGTGAACTTGCATATACTTTGTTTGTGTGAAGTTCAGAACATTCTGTCCATTGAATCTCATTTCCTGTTCATTTCTTGTTTGCGCTCATCAAAATTGTTAAATATTCAAGTAGTTTTTCCTAACTCTCTTTCTTTCTATTCTGTATTTTTTTATATTTTTTTTTTCATCTTTCCCCCAGCTTATTACAGATGTGAATATAGCTGTTGCAGTTGAAGCCATTCAAGCAATTGGGAATCTTGCTAGGGGCCTAAGAACTCATTTTTCTGGGAGTTCACGCTTCCTATTGCCTGTTTTACTTGTAAGTGTTGAATGATGCTGTTTGGCCATTTATTTAATTTTCCTATCTTCTTTGTAAATTTATTTGTTCTTACATTTTGATTATTTATTGTAATTTATCTCCTTGCATTTCTATGTAATTCACCGATTGCCTTTTTATTCTTTATTATGTAGAGACACTAGCATGGATGATTATCTGCTGTGAAAACTGAAATTGGTTATTAATTAAAAGTTATTGTTAACTTGCCAAGTTTTCTTTTGGAGCAAAGTGGTGTTCTGGATTAAACAATGTGGTCTGTTCTGCTTTACTCGAAACGATAAACTTCCTGCTTTATTAATTTTAATTTGGTGGCTACATTTTGCACTGTTATTGTTTCAGATCTTGCTGGAGCATGAGATATTCAGTTCTTTTCCTTTTTATTTTCTTATTGTTTTATTTTTTATACTACCGTGCGATGCAATGCAGCAAAGGTGTAAATTGACATGTAGCTCGAGAAATTGACAGATGTAACCTCCATAACATAATTCATTCCTCTTTATAGTCTACTCAATACATTTATTTTCCTTTCTTTTCCTGTTGAATAGATGGTTTTTATATGAAAATGGAATGTCCAATTCCGAATTGATGGCAGTTACCCAATTGAGGATTTTAATATGATACTATATATTCTGCATATCTGATCTGTATTTTAGCTTCATTGTGAATTTTCATGTTTGTTTTATTTTGTAGAAGATTAACTAGTTATCTAAGAAGTTCCATCTTTTCTAGGAAAAACTGAAGGAGAAAAAACCTACCATGACTGATGCACTTTCCCAAACACTCCAAGCAATGCACAAATCTGGGTGCTTAACTCTTGCTGATATTGTTGAAGGCAGGTTTTACCATCCTTTCAATCTTGGAATTCTATGACCTTATATTTGGAGAATAGTTTTTGCATGATGTCCTGTTTTGATGATCTCTATGGTTTTGTAATTTGTTATTCTACATATGGCTACTTTCAAATACGAGTTGCAATATAATTTTCTTTATTCTAGAGTGAGAGTTCCTCCAGAGCCCTGAATTATATGCTTAATCAATTAATTTACAATTAAATCACTCAAATTGTGAATGTTAATCAACCTTTTAGACTTGTAGCCTTTGCTTCTTTTAGGCACATCAACCGCCAACTTATAACTCTGTGGCGGCATATCCTCTCTTTAAGTTTAACGTGATGCATAAATGAACTGTTACACCAAGAGAGTACTTATTGAAGCTAAAACTCAAGAATTGAATCCCTTTTCCCAGCTTACTGAAGCTAAATGTAACCTTATCAGCTATATGGGGCTTCCATTGATGAAATGGGGTTTATTGAAAATACCCCTCGGCTAGATTTTTACCAGTATTAGTAACTAGTGGCGGAGGGATTCTGATGAAACGTTTGTTATATTTGTCCAATGCAAGCTATTATGATTAATTAACCATATCCCCGTCCCCCCCTTAACTGATGATAAATCTTAGAGAAGTTTATTTCAAACTAGACACAAGCTTTCCTTTTTAACAACCTAGGCTTGGAAATAGTTTCATGATGAAAGATTATTCTTGAATTGCCATCCAACTAATACAAACAGGAAACAACAATAACCTGTAGCAGAAGCAAATTAACAGTGAATAAAGAAGTGGTCAAGAACCTTTAATCTCTAGGTAATTAAGTCAAACCTCAAGGGAGTTCGGGGTAATATACCCCTTAATTAAGTTGAATCTTTTGAAAAAAGGGAGTATAACCATGACTTTATTATTCTTTGAGGTGTACTCAATTAATATTGAAATTTAATGGGATGCGGTAAAAAAGGGAGTTTCTATATCTCTCATAATTAGGAAGCCCTTATTTGCTATCAAATTTGACCATTTTTTTTTTTTCTTCTTCCTTTAATAAATGGTGAGGATTGGACTCTTTTTTTTTTTTTTGGGAGGGGGGGAGTGGGGGACATTGGAATGCCTGTTTGAGTTCATGTGTTGGACACAATTCTTACACTCATACTAATGTTTTGTTGTGTTGACATCAGTACGCTGAGTGAAATTGGAGAGTTAATGTAAAAAAAAAAAAGCCTATTGCACATGCCTATGGGATGAAAGTTTTTGTTAACCAAAAAAAAAAAAAAAACAGGGCTAAGAATGGCATTAACATCCCACTTCCCCACCACCGGTCCTCTAGCATGGATGGTATGATCTCTCCTCAAAGTGAAGGGTGATAGTTCGAGTCCCATTTAGGTTGACCTGTAAACTAATTGGATATGGGCCATCAGTGTCAATCTGATCCGACTCCGATAAGCAATATAGGCAATTCGATCCGATTCGATAATCCTACAATTTTTCACTTAATCAATTCATATCCGATATGCACCCTTCTGGATCTCTAATCCGATCTGTTTAAATTATACACTTACGCACAAATCAAATAATTGGTCAACTGAAAATCAAACACCAAATTTGAAATTCTGGTTAAGGAAAAACAAAGAGGAACAAAATTTGTTGTGTGAGTGAAATAAAATCACTTGGTTTTGTAACTAAAATCACCATAGAGGAAAAATCAAGAGAAGATATGGGGAAAAATCTGAATATCTATGTTGTGAAAGAAAATTAGGGCTTCTAATGAAGAAAGGAAGAAGAGAAGGAAAAGGGGAGAAAATCTATAAACATATTTTTGGATTTGGTGTTTGATTTTTCGGTTGAAGTGTTATTTGATTTGTGGAAGAGAAAATCCATATCCAATATGCACCCTCTTGGATATCCTGATAACCCGATCCATTTAAATTTTAGACTTTTGCATAAATCAAAGGATTGGTCGGCTGAAAATCAAGCACCAAATCTGAAAATATGTTTTAAGCTAGAACAAAGAGGAACAAATTTTTTTTGTACGAGTGAAATAAAATCACTTTGTTTTGTAAGAACTAAAATCAACATAAAGAGTAAATGTTAGGGGTTAGTTGGTGCTAAGATTCGAACCCATGCGCTCCAAGAGCCAACGAGAGGCATCTTACCAGCTATGCTAGAAGACTTTGGCCTGAAATAGCTATGTTGTGAAAGAGAAATTAGGGCTTTTGTAATGTAGAAGAAGAAAAGGAAGAAGAGAAGGAAAAGGAGAGAAAATCCATAAACCATTTTAGTTCTTACGAAACCAAGTGATTTTATTTCATTGGTACAAAATTTTTTGTTCCTTTTTGTTCTACCTTAAACATATTTTCACACACGAAATTTGAAAATATGTTCAAAGTAGAACAAAGAGGAATAAATATTTTTGTACCAATGAGATTTTGGTGTTATTTTACTTATAGTTTTTTTTAATTCCTCTTTGTTCTAATTGAAACATATTTTCACACACCAAATTTGAAAATATGTTCAAGGTAGAACAAAGAGGAATAAATTTTTTTGTACCAATGAGATTTGGTGTGTGATTTTACTTATTTAAAAAAAAAACATTTGGTGTGTGATTTTACTTACATATAAAAAAAAAGATTTGGTATGTGATTTTCAGTCGACCAATTTTTTGATTTGTGAAGGTGAAAATCGATATCTGTTATGCCCCCTCTTGGATCTCTAATCCGATAATCCGATCCATTTAAATTATACACTTCCGCACAAATCAAATAATTAATTGGTTGAATGAAAATTAAACACTAGGTCTGAAAATATGTTTAAGGTAGAATGAAGAGGAACAAATTTTTTTGTACCACTGAAATAAAATCATTTGGTTTTATAAGAACTAAAATCACCATAAATAGATGAGGAAAAATCAAGAGAGAAGAAGAAATGGGGAAAATCTGAAATAGCTATGTCGAAAGAGAAAATTAGGGTTTGAAATGAAGAAGAAGAAAGGAAGAAGAGAAGGAAAAGGGGAGAGAAGAAGAAAAATAAGAGGGGAAAAAAAGTTGAAATAACTGTGTTGTGAAAGAGAAAATTAGGGTTTAAATTGGAGAAGAAGAAAATAAAGAAGAGAAGTAGATGAGAACACCGTAATTCTGTATATATACTATGTGATCTTTTTAATTAAAGGTAAACAAATCTGATGGTTAATAATTGATGATATATAAGTTATAAATGTAATAATATATTCGTTTAATCGGATCTGATTGTTAACTGATTGGTTCAAAACAAAAATGGCCAGTAATGTGGTACGCATTCCTTCTTCGTTTTCCTCTCTACTCATTGTTGCATCCTGGACCTGCCTCCATGGAAGGGGTTTCTGCCTTCATTTTCTCTCTCTTTTTATCCATTATGTTTAATATGTGATATTTAATATGGCTAAATTATTATGTTAATTTCTCACCTTTGTTGTCTACAATATGCATGTGCAAATAATGCTATCTTCTGTTTTATTGTTAAGATGTTTGCAAGTTGAAATTCATATTTTTTTCAAATATGTTGCTTCTGTATATAAAAGGAAATTTTTTTCTATGTATTTTCTACTTAGACTTGCTTTGTGATTGTTGTGAACCTTGATACTTATCATGCTAAATTGCTTTGTATTGCAGATGTCAAGGCGGCAGTGAAAAATAAAGTGCCACTAGTGCGCTCATTGACTTTAAACTGGGTTACATTTTGTACTGAGACAAGCAACAAGGCTGTTGTCCTTAAAGCCCACAAGGACTATGTTCCAATTTGCATGGAGGTTAGTGAAATCCGTGCCAGAAACACTGATTTGTGTGGATTCGAGTGACTTAATTAATATGACATTTGTGCTGAACCTGCCTCCCATTGATATGCTCATAAAACATGGAGAGTGAATTTTTGTGTTTCCACCGACCTACTAAAAGTTTTCAGCACAATGTAAAATATATTGTTGATTTTAGGAATTGGAACTCTTTCTTTCTATGGAGTATAACACTTTTCAGGTCAATTTGTTGAATCACAGCTTTAACCTCAATTGATTTTAAACCATTCCCTAGTAGTAGTTTTTTGCAAGTCAAAAGTATAGCCACATAAGAAATACACATGTATATACTTCTATGAAAGGCATGATCTCTTTTCTCATATGTTCTAGATTTTTGCTGTAAATTTTAAATTTAAATTATCTGATATTTTTTAAATATTTATTTAGCTTATTTTGTTAAGTCACGTGAAAACAAATTATGTGTAGTGCCTGAATGATGGGACCCCTGAAGTGAGAGATGCTGCCTTTTCTGTTTTGGCAGCCATAGCTAAGGTATTCTTTTCAATCATAATTCCATTTCCTCTGAATATTCTCCATTTGTGTCTTACTACTTTGGCTATAATTGTTTTTTCCTTTATCTTTTGCTATCTTCTAGTTGGTCGGCATGAGGCCTTTAGAGAAGTCCTTGGAGAAACTAGATGATGTTAGAAAAAAGAAACTTTCGGAAATGATTGGGGGTTCTGGAGGTGGTACAGTTGGTACAAGCTCAGGTTTGAAATAATCTCTAATGTTTTCATATTGGTATCGCATTTGATCTGTTAGAGATTTTTATTTCTTTGAAGTTCTCTGTTTTTATTTCTCATAATTATCTTGATATGCCACTTACAGTCCAAACATCTGGAGGAGTCGTTTCTTGCGTAGAGGTGGGTTTATTTGTCACTTGATTTGTTTTTACTATTTTTGTTATGTTGTACTGTGGTTGGTTATAATAATGGCTTATTTTTCTACTTACCTAATTTTTAGTAATGTTTTTCGAAGGAAATACTTGAAGTTTGAAGGCCCTATGCGTGTTGATTATAGGATTTTATTTTTATTTTTATTTGTATTTTTTATTTTTTATTTTTTTTTGATAAAGGAACAAATTAATTTTATTGTACACCAGTGGCCGTAAACTTTGTAATGATCTTGTTTTGACTATCCAGATAGGGGCAATGAATTGTTAAAACTTAATGATTTTGGAATTATTACTGTAAAGAGTCCTACCTTCATAAATAATGAACTTGTTTTTTCTTGGAAACGTAAAGAATTAATTATTTTTGTGAAAGAAACATTTTTTAATGTCTTGGATTCTTAGTGATTATTCTCGACTCAAAATGGGTCAAGACATGCTGATGTAGAGTGGAAATGCTGTGTTAAAGAGAGTGGACAACCATGAGCAAATTTGTTTGGTCCATGGGAGATGCAAATCTCTGGCATGCGAATCATGTCACTCTAGCTTTAAGTTTTGTTCGGTGTTCTCCTTATTCTCAGTACTTCCTTTTTTCATTTCTTTTGCTGAGCTAAGATGAAGAACTATGTAAAAATGACTGAGGCAGCTTAAAGAGTACTTACAAATTGACCGAGTATTTACACAGAAATGACAATAAATTGCCTGGATGATACAAGAATCAGTAAAAAAGCAAAAAGATGTATCGGATTGATAATCATTGGAGAGGGAATCTTTCAATAATAAGTTGATCTTTTTGTCGCACCGCTTGTTCTTGCTTTTAGTTAACCTGAAGGGTCATAACACATAACATAAGTGTCTCATTAAAACCTGAGATGCTTCTGCCATTTTAGAATGATTTATCGTGCTTCTTTAACATACTTGTTCACCACCTGATAAGACCTCTTTGAATCCTTCATCTTTGTTGTCAGGGGCTTATTTGTTATTACTTATATACTGTTGGGGCTTATGTGTAATTTCTGAAACTTCTTGTTATAAATAGAATGTGGTGGAAGGATGAAAATATTCTTTCATGCTTTCTCTCTTTCCCCATCTCTCTCTCTTTTTCTCTCATCCGATTTCTTCTCTTCTCTTCTTCTTCTTCTTCTTCTTCTTCTTCTTCTTTATCATTTCCTCTTGATTTAATTACATCTTAAAGTCAACATGGTATTAGAGCATGGCTTGTAAAGCTTTAGGTTTGTAGTTGAAACCCTAGGGCAAGTTTGTGTAAACCTTAGTGTGTGTGAAGGGTTTTGAAGAGATTCCAAGATGGGATTTTTTTGGACTTGTTTTTCATCTATTGTAGTTTCGATCGGTGTTTTTTTTTTTGTGTTCGCGGGGTTCTGCAACAACGGCTTTTTCTTCGTTGTTCGCAATTCTGGTATGGTCTACTTTGTTGCTTTCTAGGGTTCCTGTGGTGACTGGTGTGGTCTACTTTGTTGCTTTCTAGGGTTTGTGTGGTGACGTGGTTGTTGCAGTCAATGCAGCCACAGATCAGCAAAGGGTTTCTGTTTGTGAAAACAGCTAAAGAGCTATGGACGGCTGTGGAAGAGACGTATTCCTTGATTGGTAATTTTGCAAAACTGTAGGAATTCCAACAACAGATTTTAAGATTCAAGCAAGAAGACCAAACTTTTGCTACATATTACCACACTCTACGTGGTAAATGGAAAGAGTTAGATCACTACCAAGACTACATACCTGTGTGTGCAGGTGATGTTAAAGCATTTCATGCTATGGTAGAAAGGAATCGAATCGATGAGTTCGTGGGTGGTCTGCACCCGAGATACGAGCATGCCAAGGTACAAGTGTTAGGCCGGTATTCAGCCCCTACTTCTCTTAGAGATGTGTTTTCGTATATCTAGGTTGAGGAGAGTAGAATGAAGGCTATGTCTGCAGTCTGCACTTGTATACACTAAGCCTGAGCCAGAAGTACCATTGTTTGAGAGGTCTGCTCTTGCCACACAACAATGTTACAAGCCCAATCCTCCAAAAGGAGGGAAACAAGATGACAAAAGCAAGTTGAGGTGTGATCACTGTGGGCGTAAGCGCCACACTAGGGAAACATGCTAGAATCTACACAGTCGCCCTACTCCAGCTCCTGCTAATGCGAATGCTAGGCCAAGGCCTGGTCCATTTAGGGGGTTATCTACGGCACATACTGCATAGCGGGAGACTTCTTAGGTTGCTTCTACTGGTCATGCCTCCTTAGGGCCACCAAGTTCTTTGTCCAGGGCTGAACTTGATGCTCTTCGACATCTACTAGCACAACATTCCTCCGTTTCCATCTCTAACTTCGCTCAAACAGGTACCTCTCATTCGGCACATCAGGTTTTCACATTATCTGGTGGGCACCCTGGATCATTGATTCAGGAGTCACTGATCACATGACTGGCAGACATTTGATTTTCCTTTGTAAAGTTTATGTTCTGATAAGGATAGTGAATGGCACCTTCACCTCCATTGCGGGGAAGGGCACTGTTTCTGCCTCTCCTAATCTTACCTTATCCTCTGTTCTTCATGTCCCAAAGTTTACAAATAACCTCCTTTCTATCAGTCATATTGTTATCAATGGAAATGATCCGGAAGAGATTCGTCGAATGAAGTCATTCTTGGGGACAGAGTTCGAGGTTAAAGACCTCGGGTCATTTAGATACTTTCTTGGCATCGAGGTGTGCAGATCGAAAAAAGGGGTGTTCATTTCTCAACGGAAGTATGTGTTAGATTTGTTGGCTGAAATAGGCTGGCTTGGAGGTAGACCTATTGATATTCCCATTGAGTAGAACCATAGGCTTAATGATGTAGATGGATACCCATCAGATGATGTGGGAAGATTTCAACGATAGGTTGGGAGACTGATTTACTCTCACGCGCCTGGATATTGCCTACGCTATTAGTGTGATTAGTTAGTTTATGCATACTCCACCTTGAGTCAGCTCATCATGTTCTTCGCTACCTTAAGGGTTCACCTGGTAAGGGGATATTGTTTGGCAGTCATGGCCACTTGCGTGTTGAAGCCTATACTGATGCTGATTCGACAGGGTCAGTGACAGATCGACGATCTACTTCAGGATATTGCACATTTGTTGGAGGTAATCTTGTTTCATGGCGAAATAAGAAACAATCTGTACTAGCTAGATCTAGCGTAGAGGCTGAGTTCAGATCCATGGCATATGAGGTTTGTGAGTTGTTATGGCTACGTACGATGTTGGGTGAGTTGGGTTATCCTGTTCGCGAGTCAATGAAGTTGTATTGTGACAACAAGGTTGCTATTAGCTTTGCCCACAATCCAGTTCAGCATGACAGGACAAAGTACATTGAAGTTGATCGACACTTCATCAAGGAAAAGCTTAGTATTGGGCTGATTTGTACTCCATACGTCAATACACATGATCAAGTTGCTGATGTTTTACCAACAGGCCTGTGGTCTAGCGGTACAAGGCTCCTATTTTCCAAAGGGAGATTAGGGGTTCGAACCTTAGTGGAGGCAGTGTGTGTGAGTTCCCAACTAGGAAAAAAAAAAGTTGCTGATGTTTTGACTAAGGGTGTGAGCAAGACTTGCTTGCAAAATATGTTAGTCAAGCTGGGTATGATAGATATCTTTGCACCAGCTTGAAGGGGAGTGTTGTTAGGCGCTTATATGTGTAATTTCTGAAACTTGTTATTATAAATAGAATGTGGTAGAAGGATAAAAATATTCTTTCATTCTTTTCTCCAACTTTCTCTCTTTTTCTCTCATCCGCTTTTTTCTCTTTTTCTTCTTCTTTATCTCTTACTCTTGATTTGATTGTAGCTTAAAGTCAATAATCTTTTTGTATTCAATTAGTGTTTCAAAAGCTAGCGCTAACTCCATTCATCACCATTTGAATGTTTTTCAGCATAACTTCCACATCTATTTTGCATCAATATTGTATTGTTTGACTAGCAAGGTTGTCAGAATCGGGATTCTACGTAGGATTGTTGGGGGGCTCCGTAGAATCGAAATCGTAGAATCGGATCGAGAATTGTATGATTTTACCAAACCAGTCGAAAAATAATTCAAACTAACTTCTTAAATTCCAGATATATAGTTAAAAACATCTTGGGATAGACATATATATTAGAGAGAATGTATTTCAAAAAATAGAGTTCGCATAACAACTATGCAACATCAATTCAATTTGAATCACGAGAGATAATACTAACTTGCAATAGATGCTAGGTAATAGGTCCAAGAGGAATCGAATCGACCAAGGTTCGTTAAAAAGTAAATCCAAATAATAATAATAATAATAATAATAATAATAAACACGTAACTAACATTATTTATATAATAATTGGGTTATAGACACTCCTGTTTTTGTCTATAAAAATTATCTGCATTGTATAAAAGGAATTGAACAATTTTTCATTATATGAACTTTAAACATGAACTACTAGTAAATAGTCTATACCCCCAAATAACAATTTTTTTTTGATAAGTAACCAAGTAACAATTTATTAGGTCAAAAAGAAAATTAAAACCAAGAAGTCAAGAACCAAAAGTTAGAAACAGAACAAGAAGCCCAGAAAACTCATCCCCCTATATTCACCGAAAAATCACAATCAGCCATGAAAAAAAAAAAAAAAAAAACTGAATCAACGATTCTACCACACATGCGATTTATTCGCGATTTAACCACCTTGGTGACCGGTACATGCTTGTTTTCTTTTCTCATTTTTGGTGGGCAAACATTTTATTGTTGAAAAGAAATCTAAAGTTCTCCTTTACTTGAATTTTGGGAAAGCAGAATATTAAATTTCTATCTCATTTTGGTGCATAAATCTGTTTGAAACAATTACCTCATTTTGAATTCATACTTACTGGGTGTTGCTTCAATCTATTTACTTTTTTTGTGGGTAGATCACAATTTTAATATGACGTACTTGATAAATTTTCCAGGCTTCAGAAGGATTATACGTGAGAAAGTCAGCAGCAAGCATGCTTAGTGGGAAGAAGCCTGTTCATGCAGCTGTGAGTATTATATGTCTTATATTTCTTTACCAGGGTATTCTTTTGAATGTATCTCATGTTTCAAAACATTTTTCTCAGCCTGCTAGTAAGAAAGGAGTGTCTGTGAAATCGGGTGTCAGCAAAAAAGATGGAGCTGGACCAATGAAAACTTCAAAGCCAGTTGAATCTGAAGACGTTGAGGTAAGTTAGAGATTTGACCATTTTAGCTATTCAACGATTGTATTTTGTTATGCTAATTTTTTAACGACTTATCTGTTATGTTTATACTCTCTTGGTTACCTAATAATTCCAGCCAGCAGATATGAGCCTTGAAGAGATTGAAAGCAGATTAGGTTCTGTTATACAAGCTGATACCATTTCTCAATTGAAGAGCAGCGTATGGAAAGAGCGGCTGGAAGGTTAATCATTCTCCTTATCAATACGAGACTCTTCATTTTAGTTATTTATTTATCATTATATATATATATATATATATATATATATATATTATTTATTAGTTTTAGTTTTTTGCTGACCTTGCATCATGAACTTTGATGGTCATTAAGGAAGAAATGCAAGAGTACGTTTGCCACTGTGTGGAACATCACTCCTGGCATCATCTTCAAAACTATCTCCACCTTATTGGTTTATCTTGAAAGTGAAAGGGATTTATAAAATCGTAAAAAGGACCAGTACTGTGTATTGTCTATTAGGCTCCATGTTTTAATTTTTGATAGTGCTAAGGCATTGCTTTTCTTGGAATTTAAATTTTACCGTAGCTCAACAGTGCCTTATCCCTTTCGTACGGGTTACTTGTGCTAATACTGTTCCATCATTCTGCTACATGCACCTGGAGTGCATGCCCAAGAACCTCTATTCCTGGCCTCAACTCCTGCCCGCCACCAGTGTTTGCAAGCTAGCTACACTTGCTTGCTTTCCGTCCTTATCTATTCAGTATTAATCATATTACTTAGTATTGGTAGGCTTGTTTGCTTTTGGGTTCATGACCCTGAAGGAATCACGTCTTTTTTCTTACTTTTAGTTGCCACGAAAGAGATCCTCATCCGCATACGAGTTGCCCCAAAAGGGCTCCTCATATAGTAAATTATTGTCTGATTCTTTTCATTGTGTTTTTTTTTTGGTTTCCTATTTATTTATTTTTATTTTTGTTATCTCTTTCAAGGGAAATTTAGCAGCAGGAATTCTTTCTATAAGTTAACGCCTCACATTAACAATAACTAATCTCTAGTTATATGCTAATCGTTTATTTTCTTGACATGTTATTTGTATGATTGTGGTTTATGTCTTTTTGTATGTTGTTTTGATGTTTTACTTACTTTCTGTATCTATCGCTAATAAACTTCATCTAGCAATTGTAAGCTTTAAACAAATTAAAGAAGATGGGAGTGTTATAAATTTACATCTCTGTTTGACAGTTCACATTTCTATTGTTGATTATTATTTTATTTTATTTTATGTATTTATTTTTATATTATGCATTAAATGCATGTACTTATTCTTGAATCTGTAGCAAATTATCTCTTTTTGTTGTTGCAGCAATTGTCTCATTTAAAGAACAGGTGGTTGGGACGCAGGACCTAGACCAGTCAGTGGAGATGCTAATTCGTTTACTTTGTGCTGTTCCTGGATGGAGTGAGAAAAATGTGCAGGTATTTAAAATTTCTCATCTTACTCGCTGGGTTGTTATTGTTGTTAGCTTTTTGGGTAATAAGCTTATATTTCTTGAAAAGTGCAGGTCCAGCAACAAGTTATTGATGTCATTAACCACATAGCATCTACTGCATCCAAGTTTCCGAAAAAATGTGTAGTGCTTTGCCTTTTCGGTGAGTCACTGGTTAAATTTCCAATTATATCTTGGTTTTTGGCTAGCATATTTGAATCAAAGAACTGGTTCATGTGGCCAGTTACTCACTTGGTTCAAATATCTGCTTTTTGACAGGTATAAGCGAAAGGGTGGCAGATATCAAGACCCGTGCTCATTCCATGAAGTGCCTTACAACTTTTTGTGAAGCTGCAAGCCCAGGATTTATTTTTGACCGAGTAAGGATAGCTGCAGTCTTGTTCATATTTTTTGTGTGTATAGGTCTACATCTAACAGGTGCTCAAATGGTGTCTCCCAAGTCAGAGACATGAGGAGCTCTTCTTATTTCCATTTTGGTAAAGCTATCTTTCTTCTATTTGTGTCACTTATACTTCTTGATTTGTGTTTTAGCTATACAAAATCATGAAAGAGCACAAGAATCCGAAGGTTCTTAGTGAGGGTATTTTGTGGATGGTATCAGCTGTTGAAGACTTTGGTATATCACATGTGAAACTGAAGGTGTTTCCAGTTCTTGTATTACTTTGTTGTTTTTTCTTTTTATTTTTTTAGAACAATTGATGTTCTTGTTCTTCTTCCTTGTACGACAGTTAAGAGGGAAAATTTCTATTATTTCCACAGGATTTAATTGATTTTTGCAAAGATACGGGATTGCAATCCAGTGCTGCTGCCACTAGAAATGCCACTATTAAGCTCATTGGGGTTTTGCATAAGTTTGTTGGTCCAGGTAATTTTTGTGTCAACTTTTGGATGGTTTTTAGCTGATTTATGGGTCATAAGATGTACTCCTTTTGCAGAAATCAAAGGGTTTCTAACAGATGTCAAACCTGCTCTTCTTAGTGCCCTTGATGCAGAGTACGAAAAAAATCCATTTGAGGTAGGATTGCGTTTATATTTGCCATTCTATTTCTGACTGCTTCGTTTAAATTGGCTGTTTATTGTTCTGGTGTTTTATTTTGTAGGGTGCATCTGCAGTTCCAAAGAAAACTGTGAAGACATCAGAATCCACATCATCTTCATTTGGTGGTGGGCTAGATAGCCTGCCACGCGAAGATATAAGTGGGAAGATCACACCTGCCCTTCTTAAGGGCTTGGAAAGTCCTGATTGGAAGGTCTGGTCATTAGCATATATGAGTTCTTTTTTTAACAGAGTATATATGAGATTCACTTTTAATATAGTCGTGTGTATGTGTGGGTACAGTTTTACTGTTGGCAACTCACCCTCTTGAACTTCTTGTTTCGTTGTTTATCAGATTCGTTTGGAATCTATTGAAGCTGTTAACAAAATATTGGAAGAGGCCAATAAGCGCATTCAGCCAACAGGAACTGGTATGGAATTATTTTGCGTGATTAGAACTAGCTATACATTTTAACTGTGACCATACACAGCATCATTCTCACTGTACTTTGTCTCTTTTGTTTTGTTTTCGGTAATGTTGCCAATCTGTTGCTTTTCTGTTGATTGACAGCGGATTTATTCGGAGCTCTTAGAGGTCGCCTATATGACAGCAACAAAAATTTAGTTATGGCAAGTTTGACTACTGTTGGCGCTGTCGCATCTGCAATGGGAGCAGCAGTTGATAAGTCAAGCAAGGTTTGTTGACTTTTAACCTGCAGTTGCTGATGTTTTATTTTGTTTTCTTTAGATATCTGACATTAATGTGCTGAATGGATTCTTGCAGGGCATTCTATCTGATGTTTTGAAATGCCTGGGTGACAATAAAAAGCATATGAGAGAATCTGCTTTGACTACTTTAGATTCTTGGCTTGCTGCTGTACATCTAGACAAAATGGTTACCATCTGTTCCCTTTTTTTTTCCTTGTGCTTTTTGTGCATTTTTTTTTGCTTGTCCAATATTTGACTATTCTATGTCCATTTTAGATTCCTTATGTTGCTGCTGCTTTAACGGATGCTAAGCTTGGCGCGGAAGGGCGTAAGGATCTTTTTGATTGGGTATCCAGGCAACTTACTGGATTAAGTGATTTTTCTGATGCTTCACATCTTCTAAAACCAGCTGCCTCTGCTATGACGGTATACTAGAGCAATACTAGAATGTTTTAGCAAAATAAATTGAAAGCGTTATCTGCATTCTTTTTTGGTTTTATGGAAATTATATGGTTTGTTCGTTCCCATATAGGATAAATCAGCAGAAGTTCGCAAGGCAGCCGAAGTATGCATTGGTGAAATTTTAAGAGCTTGCGGACAAGAAACAGTGCGTTGGCTTCAAAATTCTTTTGTGCTCCTATCTGTTTCTTGAAATTGACAGAACTTCTGAGATTCTTTATCCTGTTATCATTTTTCTAGGTGACCAAGAATTTGAAAGATATACATGGACCTGCATTAGCCATTGTTCTTGAACGGCTGAAACCACATGGGACTTTTCAAGGTGAATCTTCGTAAAATTTGGTGAGATGTTGCATTGGTTTTATTGGCAGTGTTGTTACTTAGCTAATCTAACTTGTTTGCTTCCAGAAACATTTGAATCAGCAAAAACAATACCAACATCCAAAAGTGGCTCAAAGGTTGGGAAATCTAGTAACAACGGTCATGCAGATCGTGCACCAAGGCATGGAAGCAGAGCAGTGTCTTCGGTATGCTTTTACCTGCTTAAATTTGTTTCTGCTTATGGTCTAGCAATGGTTCTGATTCTTTAATGGTTTGGGCAGAGAGTTCCCTCAAGCAAAGGTTCAAGGCCTGAATCAATTTTATCAGTTCAAGATATGACTATCCAGTCCCAGCCTTTGTTAAATGTGAAGGATTCAAACAAGGTATATAAGCTAGTTATATAACATCAAGTCCTAATTGTAATTTATTTAGTGCAGCTGTTGATTGGATCATCCCATGTGCAGGATGATAGAGAAAGAATGGTTATCCGTAGGTTTAAATTTGAAGAGCCACGGTTAGAGCAAATTCAAGAGCTTGAGGTTTGTGTTAATTTTCGGTTGATGAATGATTTGTTGCTTTTCTATTATTCCTTTTGAATTTGACAATGAATGTCTATGCTACAGAATGATCTTATGAAGTATTTCAGAGAAGATTTGCACAGGAGGCTTCTTAGCACAGACTTCAAGAAGCAAGTTGATGGTATTGAGATGCTGCAGAAGGTGCTTTTGCTGTCACATTTGTTGCTACTTGGACTGGCTGAGAATATGTGAATGGTTATATAATTTTAGTTTCTGTTATTTTTCCAGGCACTTCCATCCACTGGAAAGGAAATGATTGAAGTTCTTGATGTTCTTCTAAGATGGTTTGGATTGCGATTTTGTGAATCTAATACATCATGCCTATTGAAGGTGCAGTATTTTGTTATTATTATTTTTCAGGTTTGCTTATTTCAGGTGGTGGTGAGGAAAATTTGTTGGTTGTGATTTAAATTTGTTTTTCTCCCTTTAAAAAACAGGTGTTGGAATTCCTTCCCGAACTTTTTGATACATTGAGGAATGAGGGGTACACCATTACCGAATCTGAGGCTGCCATTTTTTTTCCCTGCTTGATTGAGAAGGTTCTTCTTGTAGCCCTGCACTGCTTCAATTAGTCCTGTCAGCTGTGAATTTTCTAATTCTGCATTGTTGTTGGTCATGTTTGACCCAAACCTTCTTACCAACTTGAAAAATGGTAGCTGGCAGTTTTTAGCCTTACCTTTCTAGATGTCAAACTGATCTGTTCTTTCTTTAAAAGGCAAATTACTTTCTTTACGAATGCATCTGGTTCCATCTTTCTTTTGTTTGTTAATCCACCTTTCTTTTTAAAAGTGATTATAGTAATTCCGGTTGTATACTACTTGGATTGGCTCTCTCATATTGAGAAATTCTGCTAATGGAATTCTTTTTCTTTTTTTTTTTTTCCCGAGGAAACACTTTATCATTGTAATTTAGTACCTTCTTTTTTTTGTCCCCCTTGTTCTTCTCTCTTTTAGTATCAGTAGGTTCGTGTCTTGGTTATTGTAAGTTCCTCTTCTTATTGGCGTTGTTCAGGTTGGCTTCCCTGCTTGATCTAGACTTGTCTGGTTCTTGTTGGGAGGTAACCTGGCACAACAGTTTGTCCAAATCTGCTTGTTAGATGCTAATTTTAAAGTACTTTCTTGGAGTTTCTTTTTACTGACCTGAGAATTATTAAAACATCCTTCTTGACTGTGGCAATGTTTTACTACTGCAGTGTGGACACAACATCGAGAAAGTACGAGAAAAAATGCGGGAGCTGATTAAACAAATTATTAATGCATATTCAGCCCCAAAAGCTTTCCCCTATATTTTGGAGGGTTTGCGTTCTAGGAACAACCGAACCCGGATAGAGTGTGTTGATCTTGTTGGATTTTTAATCGACAGCCATGGTGCTGAGGTAACATAGAGAACTTTATCTCATTTTGGTCATCTTTTAAAGGATGCGTAATCCTATCATCATTTTGTCTACAGATTGGTGGACAATTAAAATCATTGCAGATAGTTGCAAGCTTAACAGCAGAACGAGATGGTGAAATTCGCAAAGCAGCCTTGAATACTTTAGCTACTGGTTATAAGATTGTTGGTGAGTTTATGATCCTACATTCTCTGTATTGATTTGTATAGTGGTCTGTTGAGATACATAAAAGTCTTGCTTTTAAGGTCCTCTACTAATTTCCATATTTTTTATTGTTTTGTTCGCTTGGTGTCTGAGAAGTATGCTCTATTTTCAAATCAAATCTTCTTTTAATTTCTTCTTAGAAGATCGAAGGACCATTTAATTTGTTATAATTTCATTTTTTATAATTTTTTTTCTTGTTTAAAGGACTTGAAGTTTTGGGAAGAATGATCTACACATTCAATCAATATCCATTTACTCCTCTTACCTGGGAATGTTATGGTATTCTTTGTTCATCAACTGGTTTTGTTCTAATTATTTATTTCTTTATTTTATTTTTTATTTTTAGGCGATGACATATGGAAATATGTTGGGAAGCTAACAGATGCTCAAAGAAGCATGTTAGATGACAGGTTTAAGTGGAAGGTTTGTATATATACTATATGCTCTGCTTGTTATTCTTTTGTTTCTTCTATTTACCAATGTGTACTTTGCCAGGCACGAGAGATGGACAAAAGGAAGGAAGGAAAACCCGGTGAGGCTAGGGCTGCTTTAAGGCGTTCTGTTAGGGAAAATGGGTATGTCTGCTTTCTCTACTGCACGACTTGTTTGTTCTTATTATCAAAAGGTCATGCATCTCTATGCGTGTCCCTGCATGATGCAATATTTGTTGCTTTTAGTTGGTTTCAATTTATTCTCATCTGAGGAAAATTTCATCATAGAAGTTCTAATTCAGTTGGAACAGTTTGTTTGAATCTTATTCTAATTTACCTTGCTGTGTTTCTTTCTGTTTCTGTCTTCTGTTCCTTGCTTAACTTGTCATCTGCTACAATGGTTAAATATTTCTCAATTCAAGATTCAGTTGTGTTCCCGGAAGATTTAATATCCCAGTGATGTCGTTTTTGTGATCTACAAGTTCAAATATTGTGAACCAATTAAATTTGTGTTTGGTTTGATATTTGACTTGTAGGTCTGATTTAGCAGAGCAAAGTGGTGAAGTTTCACGATCTGTGTCTGGCCCAATATTTGCCAGGTACTGCTGGTTTACTTTTTCGTTTTCCCATTCTTTTGTTTTCTCTGTCTGTTCGGTCCTGATACTGTTTTTCTCAAATATTTTTCATATTCATATGCTTTATCTTAGTTGTCTTGTTTTGAAATGCTAAATATTTTCTTGTTCTAGGGAGATTTATGGTCACTCTGAGCTTCACATGGAGAGAAATGTAATGACTCGACCACTTGCTAGTGCGAATGGTCCGACTGACTGGAATGAAGCTCTGGATATCATTGCATTTGGTTCCCCTGAGCAGGTTGTAGATTACTTTGTGTAGTTATTTTATTTTATTTTTACTTTTCAGATATGTTAGATTCAGACGTGTTTTGCTAGATTGTATCTGCATTACTAAGCTATGTTCAATACTTTATGGTTTAGGATTTCATCTAGAATTCTAGTTTTTCTTTATTGGGTGCCATATTATCAGGCAGATTATTGGTGTCAACTGGGTATAGCGGAGGAATACCGACAAAAAACTGACACTTAAGAATGTGAACTGCACCTCTGGGAAAATCCTAATGTCATATGGGTTTTATGTGAGCATGTATGAGTGTTGTTATTATATGAGTTCATAGACTTCCTAAATGTTTTTGCATATAAAAAGGTAACACCAAAGGCACACTTGCATACCTATAATTTCCTTGTTTATTTACTTTTCCCAAATTAAGCTCTCTTTAAATGACCTCAATATTTCTAATTATGAAAATTAAAATTACTTTGAAGACTTAAAAGGGGAAAATTAGAATTTTTTATTTTATTTTTAGAATGACCTTAAACTAGAGAAAAGATAAATAGTGACTAAACTTAAAAAAATAATTGCCAATAAGTGACCATTTAAAATTAATGTCCTAAATTCTCTTCAACCACAACCCCACCATTTAATTGCCAATGAGCTTATAGGCATCTTAAATGTTTGGTAACTAATTTTCTTTTCTTGAGTTTAAGGTCACTCTAAAGTAATTAATGCCGTAAATTCCCTTCAACCACAACCCCACCATTAGATTTATTTATTTACTTTATTTTTATTTTTATTTTTATTTTTTGTGTTGTGTTAGATGTCCCACTGGGTTAACACAGCTGGACCTACTATGCTGTAGAGAATAAATTCTATTTCAGAACATAATTGTAAATTCGTTGATGTTACTAAATTATCGTATTCTTGGTCTGGCAACAAATTTGTATATATATATATATATATATATTTGCGTGTGTGTATATATATGCTTACCAAATGATTAATCTAATTCTTTGAGAATTATGCTCTCTTGAATGCAGTGTGTTAAAGGCGCGTTTAGGCTCGAGGCTTAGGTTTAGCGCTTGTTGTCATCCCAGGCTCACTGATGTTTACTAGGCGCACGCCTCAGTCGCGCCTCACTGATATTTGCTTAAAAAAATACAATTGTTTTATCTCTTAAGCCAAAAAGGGTACTTTTGGCAACTTAATAAACAAAAAAGAAAGCTCAATCATACGATATAAGGAACTTTTGTTCAAAAGAATAAAAAAATAAGAAAGCCCAAGAGTCAAAGTGTTAACCGAACAACGATAGAATGAGATTGTGAGACGAAGACGAAGCCCTAATTGCAGAAATGAACGACGAAGCCACCTCAGTTCTTTCTTTTCTTTTAATTTTTTTTTCCTCCTCTCCTCTAGATCTCTCCTCTCTTATTATCTTTGTTTACATCTCTCTCTTCGTCTTGTTCTCTCATCTCCTCTGTCTTTTTTTGTTTGCTCTGTTTTTTCTTTTTTTTCTTCTTTTTTTTTCTTGTTAACAAAATTTTTTTTTTTTTGGTTAACATATTTATTTCTTTTTGTGCTTTGTTTTGCCATTCAAAAAACACATTTTGCTTTGCCTTTCAAGAAAACAAATTTGTGCTTTGTTTTATGGTTGTTGGATGCTTGTATAGTTGATGGATTTATTTTTTTATATTTGATAGTTATTTTTAGAATATTGATATGACTTATGAGATATGAATATTATAATGGTAGTTTAAATTTTCAATTGTGCGACTCACTTCACTCAGGTGCGTGCCTCGCCGTGCGTCTCGCGCCTCGTGCCTAGGCTCCAAAGGACCTCTAGCGCCTTGGGCCTTTAATAACTATGCTTGAATGTTACACCTGATTTATCAATTTTTTTGAGAATTTCTTCAATGTTATGATTCTTCTATGCTTGAATGTTACACCTGATTTATCAATTTTTTTGAGAATTTCTTCAATGTTATGATTCTTCCCTGCAAGTGTTTAAGAAGAAGAAATACAAGAGAAATATGTAAAGGTTTGAATGAGAATCATCACTCATTCAAACCTCTGGTATTTATATACTAAAAGAGCACTTGTTAATATTACAAGAAAGTAAACCAAATAAATTCACTGCAGATTCTATGACTTATATGCCTACATAATTTCAAATTATATGATTCTAGGCTTTCATATCTTGGCTAACAGTTTTACCCACTTAGTGTCATTGTTGATCTGGTTTAAGATTTTTGACATGTTGTCTTAAATTCTCAATTTATGGATTTATCTGTTTCTTTTTCCATTTTAGCTGCAATTTGACTTGTGATCTCTCTATGTCAACCACACACCCACACAAATTTGACTTGGTATTATTTTCTTGTGGTGCAGTCTGTTGAAGGAATGAAAGTTGTTTGCCATGAGTTGGCTCAGGCAACCGGTGATCCTGAAGGCAACACAATGGATGATATTTTGAAAGATGCTGATAGGCTTGTTTCTTGTTTAGCAAATAAGGTAAAGCATTGCTGTAGTTAAAGTATTTCTATTCATTTCCTTTCAATGCTCCCAAGTTAGGCTTTTTATATCATGTATCAAAAAATCAAATTTGTTAACTTGTTTCTTGCAGGTAGCCAAGACTTTTGACTTGAGTTTGACAGGAGCCTCTTCAAGGTCTTGCAAATATGTTCTGAACACGCTTATGCAGGTAACACCTTCCAACTTTGACTTTTTGTTTCTCCTTGATGTTCTTTTTTATTGCCCTTTCAAGGATATATGTTGTTTTGATTGACTAATAGTGCAGAAATTGGAAATAAACTCGCGAGACCATGCAGAAACTAGTTGGTTGGAACATATTTTTCTCATCTTTTTCTTATTTGTTCTTTTATATCCTCTGCCTTTTTGGCTAGCCTGTGCATCAAAAAATTGTTTTAGCTTGCAGATATAATTGTTGTTATTTTTTTCAGACATTCCAAAATAAACGGCTTGCTCATGCTGTTAAAGAGAGTACCCTTGACAGTCTCATCACGGAGCTTCTTCTTTGGCTTTTAGATGAAAGGGTTCCCCGGATGGATGATGGCAGCCAGCTTTTAAAAGCATTGAATGTTTTGATGCTTAAGATTCTTGTTAAGTATTTTTAAAAAGCTTTCATTTGTTTAATTATTATATTGATGGTTTGCAGTTTGATATTGACTTATGTTGTAAATTCAGGATAATGCAGAACGGACATCGTCATTTGTTGTCCTGATTAATCTGTTACGGCCATTAGACCCTTCAAGGTGGCCATCACCAGCATCAAATGAGTCCTGTGCGACGAGAAATCAGAAGTTCTCTGATTTGGTTGTCAAATGTCTGATCAAACTCACAAAAGTAATCTTTCTTTCTTGGTGCTTATTTTTGCTTTTTGTTCTTTGACTAGTCGGTTTTTAGGTTACCTGCGAATTCCTATATAGTATCCTACACATTCGGGTACACTCGTTCTGATTTATATTTATTTTTTAATTTATATACTTCGGTAACTGAACATATTAAACTGCATTAAGTATTAGAATTGTCTTACATGTTCACATTATTTAGCAATCCAGCAGGTAGTGATATGAACAAAAATGCTTACGTGTATTGGATTTAAGATTCAGCCCTTTTTTTTTTTCCTAGTTGGGAACTCACACGCACATGCCTCCACTGAGGCTCGAACCCCTGACCTCTCTTTGAGAAGTAGGGGATTGGTACCGCTAGGCCACTGGCCTGTTGGTGATTCAGCCCTTTGTAGTTGTCATTTTGTATATTTTAATTGACTAAGCTGACATAGACTGAGGCAAGTTCCAGAAATTAACCTTTTGTCCTCCTGAAACTGTTATTTGAATTCTACTTTCTGCCAGCATTTCCATCATTTGATTGTTTTGGAGTGAGGGGACACATACCAGTTTTCTATAAAATCCACAGATTTTGCACTGTTGTAATCATGGCCTGTATAATTTTACTGACTTTTCTGTAAGGTGCAGGTTCTTCAAAGTACAATATATGAAGTTGACCTTGACCGCATCCTTCAAAGCATCCATGTATATTTGCAAGATTTGGGAATGGAGGAAATCAGGAGAAGGTATTGTTTCTATAAATATGTTGATTTGATTGCTGTTCAATTTTGTAACATCGCTGTTGATGTTTCCGCTTGGCTGCTGAACTTGATATTAACTGATGGAATTTTTTTCTTTTGACTGGCTGTCACTTTGTTATGCATTTCTAAAAGAGCTGGAGCTGATGATAAACCATTACGAATGGTTAAAACTGTTCTACACGAGCTTGTTAAGCTTCGTGGGACTGCAATCAAGGGTCATCTTTCTATGGTTCCAATTGACATGGAACCACAGCCTATTATTCTTGCGTACATTGATCTTAATCTTCAGGTACTTGTGTTGTATAAAATACACAATTACTTAATTAATTTCGTTTCTTTTGATATCACTTTTCTCTAACTTATTTATTTATCTTAATTATTTGCTCTATTTTATTTTTGTTTTACATATTTCATGGTAACCTTACCAGACTTTGGCTGCTGCGAGAATGTTGACACCTTCAGGCCCTGCTGGCCAAACACACTGGGGTGATTCTGCAGCTAACAATCCAACACCTGCCACTCATTCTTCTGATGCCCAGTTGAAGGTATTATTAGTATGCTCCAAACATTTTTTTGATTTTCTAATGTTTGTTTTGCCTCTTCATTATTATTTCAAAATAGTGTTTTTAGTTCCTTTTTCGCATGTTTTCTATTTCATTTTGTATTATCTTTTGCTACGAGATTTTATCCTCCAAATTGTGTGCATTGCCTTACAGCAAGAACTCGCTGCAATTTTCAAGAAGATTGGTGACAAGCAAACATGTTCCATTGGTCTTTATGAACTTTATCGCATCACCCAATTATATCCCAAGGTAAAACTCCGTGTATGAAATAACTATACATTAAGGTCTTGCTTGCAATTTATTTTTAATCTTTTGGAGGGGGCTCTCATACACTTTTGTTCGAAGTGATTTCTCTTTTCTGGATCTTCTTGTTAGTGTAGTTCTGAAGATTTTGATTCATGCTTGTATATTTTAGGTTGATATATTTGCTCAGCTCCAAAATGCTAGCGAGGCATTTCGAACATATATCAGAGATGGTTTAGCTCAGGTTTGGTCAACATTTTTTGCAATTAAATGTTCCAAGGGTGACGGGCAATTAATTTACAAGAACTGCTTTTTGTTTGTGCTGCAGATGGAGAAGAATGCAGCGGCAGGAAGGACACCTTCTAGTTTACCATTATCAACTCCTCCCCCAGCTACTCTAAACCTTTCTTCCCCAAAATTTGCATCACTTTCACCTATAAGTACAAATCCATTGAATGATGCAAAATCTCTAAATATTAAAGTAGAACCATCAAACTTCAGTTTACCCCCATCTTATGCTGAAGATGACAGGGCCAGTAATTTTGCCTCTTCGAGAGCTCCTATGTCTGACCATTCAGATTTACGGCAGTATCTAGGGGAACAAAAGAATGACAAATTTCCATCCGGAGGTAATTTGTTGTGCCACACTTATTTAACTGTTCCATTCCATTGAGGGAAAATTCTTACATTTGAAATTTAATTTATTGATGAATGCAGTGTCTGGCGGAACATTAGATGCTATAAGAGAAAGGATGAAGAGCATCCAGCTAGCAGCAGCTGCTGGGAACCCGGATTCTGGAAACAGGCCACTAATGCACATGAATGGCAATTTAACTCACAGTGTCCCTAGTCAGTTTACACATGCAGCAGACCGTGCTAGTTCAGATAATTCTGTGCAGAGTGGGGTTCTTCCTATGGATGAGAAGGCATTGTCTGGCCTTCAAGCAAGGATGGAGAGACTTAAAAGTGGATCAATTGAACCGCTTTAGGAGGAAGAGAGTTCGGGGACACCGATTTGATTCATTGAGCATCCGGGTGTTGTAACTGTGGCATAAGAAGCCAGCCTTCTGTAAATGAAAGAGGGGAGCACCTGAGTGTAATTATAGGGATGGTTGCCGGTATAGATTAGATACTAAGCATTTGGTGCATTGAAACTCAACCTTGGAAGTTTTTTATACTCCCTTGATTTTGCGGCAGAGATGTGGTGGTTGGCACTGGTTTATGATGTGTACCTCATTCGTGTGTAATTTGTATATTTTAGTTGACGCTTTGTTCTTTTTGGCCAATGTGCCTGTCATTTCCTCTAATTTAATGCCAACAGTTTTAAATGTGATCCTCAAAATGATTTTTCATCCATGTGCACCTAGTCCTCGTCTGTATATGGATTTAAAAGAATTCTTCTGTTACTTTCTTGCCCCTCGTAAATTGAAGGTTTGGTACCCTGGGATGGAATGAAATGCCCGTTCCAAGTTCTCATTCATTTTTCTCTTGTTTTACTGCACAAAAAGATATTGCTTAAACCCGTTTGATCTGCATATGCACACACCTGATCTGGTTAATCTCTTTATATAAGTCTTCTTTTTATTATTATTCAGCGAAGTAAGATTTCATTGTTACAATCCATGTCAGCCAATTTCATCAGAGGAAATTAGGATATGCTTATATTCCAAGACACTAATTATTCGTTCTGAGCTAGATTGCAATTTCTCCCCTAGTTCGCCCTCTTTTGGAAGTTCGTTGGCCGGCACTTAGTCGTCTTGTGTGTGTTGTTTTTGGGTATTTCATGGTTAAAGTTGGGGTTTTTATGGGACTAGAAATGGAGAGAGCTGTGATGAGGCCGTGCTTGAGAAAACGCCAGGGCGGCTTATCTGTTTGGGTTGCCAGCGGCAGAGGAGAACTGTGAGGTGGTGTAGGTTGAGTGTTGAGGGCAATGGGCAAGTGTAGAGGAGATGATTGGTTCTTTAGGGGAATTTCTAATAGCACGAGGACTTAAGTATTTTCTAACTAGACCAACTCTTTGGGATTTATATTTTTTAGGGTTACAAGGATAAAATGGTTTTTATTTTATTTTATTTATTTATTATTTTTTTTTGTAATAGTTAGTAATGTTTTTTCTAACTAAACCAACTCTTGGGATTTATACTTTTTAGGGTTATAAGGATAAAATGGTATTTTTCTTTTTTTTCTTTTTTTTTTTTTTTTTTTTTTTTTGGTAATACTAAAACTGAAAATATCAATACAGGGAAGGGCAGGGACAATAGGGTAGATCAAGTTATTTAGTCAATATTTTATATATTATATAATATATCATGTATTATGAATACCATATGATTATATATAGTATATTTTTAAAAAAATTTAATACAAATATATATTGTTCTATTTAATTAATTTTTATTAACAAAGTAATTTGATTTTTTTTTTTTAACACCCTGTTTATTCTAATTTTTAGACCAATATAGCCAAATTATAAAGGAATCAAAGTCTACCCAAAATTTATCAACAAGTTGGGAGGTAGTGCATCCTACCTGTCCCCCACACTTGTCCCATTCATGTTTCATGTGGGACAAGATCCTGTGATATTCATGGACACGAGATAGGAAGATTTGATTGGTTCAGTATAAGGTAAATGTTCATGATGAAGAGTTTAGCTCTCAAAGTGTCTCACTCTTTAAAACAGATCTCATTATTCTCTCACAACACTCCACAAACCTTAAATAACCATATATACTTATTTGTGGCTCGAATGAACGTTCTGAAGAAACTTAAGTTAAGTTATGTTATAGAGCGAATTCTTGAAAAAAAATATATATATATATATTATTATTATTATTATTATTATTATTGAATCATACCGATTACAGCTTCGGGCCGAAACAAAATTAGAGTAGAAAGTTATGTAGTCTCATCATAGAAAGTTATGTCATGTAAGACAAGCACACAATAAGATAGAATAACAGTATGTGAATAATTTGAAAGTGGGTAGCCTTCTATATAATATCATATATTTGATATTCTTTTAGAGCATTCTATAACTGGAATTTAGAATTTTCTCGACCCTTGTATGGGTGACACTTGGATGCATGAAACCATGGACCATAGCCTATAAATCGATTTGGGTTACAAAGTATTGTAAACATTTCTATTGAAAACATTTTCTAATGCAGTATAAAATCTTCTAATTTACACTGAATTTTGAATTTTAGATGCAAAACTTAGAATTAATCTAACCAATAAATAGAATTTAAGATGCAAAATTGATGGAAGTGACAAGATAGTATGTCGAGAGATTTGGTAGGAATAGACGTGACATAGAAATTTGTAAATGCGATGTGTGTAGAGATTTCTGTAATTTGTTTGATCATATAATGCACTATAAAATCAGGGAAGTGAATTTTGGATAATTTTAGTATAAATAAAAAATATAATTAAATTTTGAGTTTTAGATACAAAACTTAGACTTAATCTAACCGATTAATAGAATTTAAGGTGCAAAATTGATGGAAGTGACAAGATAGTGTGTCGAGAGGTTTGGTAGGAATAGACGTGACATAGAAATTTGTAAATGCTGTATGTGTGTAGAATTTTCTATACTTGGTTTGATGGGTTATACCAAACGTGCTGAAACTCACCCTCCATATAGAAACAGTGCCTTAAAAATAGAACTGGTTTCGTTTTGGCAATAGCGAAACCCAAATTTGCAACGTGGCACAATGTTGGGATAGGCCAGTAGCCAAAACAAGTCAGTCAGCCAGCAAGTTTGACTGTCCCAATTTTTCACATAATCCACAAATCACAACTCTCTCTCACTTTAGGCTGGAATACTTATAAACCTATTCCATATTCTTTTTAGGCATGTGCATGCGTTCATCTCTGTCTTGAAACTAGAACATCCTTCATGATCACTGTTTTGGTTAATATGTCAGCCAAATTGTTGGTAGCAAGTATTTTCTCAAATATTCACATCCCATCTTACAACAATAATCTAATGAAGTGATATTGAAGTCCTGTATGTTTGGCTCTTAAATAAAATGCTGAATTCTGTACCAGATGTATCTACTATCATTGTGTATATAAAGCATTCTTCACCTACTTAAATTCCAATTATGCCAACAAATAGAGTTATCTTACTTTATAATAATATTATTTAATGTTAAGTGTGTTATTTATCTTACCATCCATCGATGACCCATTTTTTGCCCATGACATTATTTTTGTAATTTTAAAATAATAATTCCAAGTGTTGTGTTACCCAAGTGGTTGGGTTGTTCTTCGTGTCTGAGAGTCTGTGTTCGAACCTTACACCTTTCCCTCCCCTCCCCACTAACAACTAATCCCTAACATTTTTGTCTTGAATAATAAAAATAATAATACCACCAACCCTTTGGGATTAAAGAGTAACATGTGGGCGAAAAAGAAAATTCTATAGAATTGTTATCAAACCAATTATGTTTATAGAACAACTTGAGTTCTCTCCCCCTAATTTGTCGGGAAAAAAATCCTATATTTTATGCAACGGAAGGTAGCCATATTCTTATGAAATTAAGGCAAAAAAAATGTTGAAATGATGATGAAGATGGGCACATAGGCTTGCCACACATGACATCCACAACATTATTCTGGAATTATTGCTGGTTTTCATTCACAGTGATATTTGGTGTTTTCCGATCCCCACTCCATCACCCTCCCCCACCACCACTACCACGTAACAGAGACACTTTCCAATGCCTTGCCTCCCCATCTGATAACTACTCACTGAATTAAGCACACCATTAATATTGGCCACCTAGCTAGCTCCCACAGCTCCATTGGTACAACCTAATTTGGAAATCCAAAGCTATATCAAGGCAATCCCTCAATCTTTGGATGGCAGTTCAGTCTAAATTACCTACAGTACTTGACACCCCAGAGAGTCGCTCACATTTGTTCTTCTCATGTTCTTTTGTTTCCCCCCTGGCATATCTGGAACTATATCCAAAGTATTGTTTTTTACAATGCAATGTATTTACAAGAACTGCGTTTTGTTTGTGCTGCATATGGAGAAGAATGAAGCAGCAGGGACATTTTTGTTAGGGATGTTTATATTTAACTTTAATTTAGAACTAGAAAGAAAGAAGGGATGTTTTATTATTTAATGGTTCTTTTCGGTTTTGAGGCCATGGTGCAAACTCCCATTTTTAGGTCGGGTGCTTTTGGTTAAAAATGTTTTGCTTTGTACAGTGGCGAAATGTTTTATGAATGGTGCTCAAAAATCAAAACACTGATTTGGTGTTTTTACATGTTTTTGCGCTATATCAACGAGTACTACAAGTCAGAAATGAAAAGAATTGAAAAACTAACATTTTTAAATTAGCCATTATATTTTTCAAATTTACAATATTTTTTACAAAATATGTTTTTATGTTTTTGTTTTAAAAAATCTAAAAAATAAACGTTATCAAATATGTTTTCGAATATTATTCAAAACACTCTATAAAGTTAAAACAAAAGCTCAAACAAAACACCTGTCACACTGGCAGTGAAATTGTAAAAATGGAGCCATTTTTTTTTCTTATTAACCCAAATCTGACTCTTATATGCATTAATATAGGTAAATTGTGGACTATTTAGGGTAAATTCTACTTTCTTTCAACGAGGTTTGTCAATATTGCACACTTATTAATTTGTTAAAAATATATATAAAAAAAACCAATTATTTTTCTTTTTGTGAATAGCATCTTAATTTGTTAACTAGGACGAGTTACGACAAGAAAGGACCACCAAACAATAAAAACTGGGTGCTAAAATTAACAAAATCTTCAAATGCTGTCATAGTAGGAGGAGAGTGATTCTTCAAACAATTAAGTGGGACATGAATTGTTAGCAAACAAAGCCCAGTGAAATTATTCAATATATATATAAGTACAAATATTCATAGATATCCACAAGAATCTTATCATCACCCATCACATCTAGTAACCCCAACACACCTGGAAAAGAACCCAGGTTTCACCAACATCACATATATTTTCATTAGGAGATGAGAGTGACCATAAATGAATGAACACCTTCATTATCATGAAGCTGAAACTAAAAAGGTCAGCTTCAATTAGTATACATCTACTATAATAGATAGTTACAGGTTGAGAGTGAAATCCTATATTTATCACTAAATAAAGGGACACGTGTCTTCAAATATATGGGTAAGAAGACTTGTAGAATAAGAAAAATGCAATTTAGACTTATTTCCTAAGCCGTGGAGTCGAGGATAAAGTATTCAATACCCAGAATATTTATCATGTGATATCTCAATCAATTGATGTAAATGAACTTCCCAATTCTTTGTTATCAAAATAAATTGAGAACTTCGATGACTGTCCAGAAACCAAATATCTCGTGTAAATACTCCTAAGTATTGCAACCTATGGTGTTAATTTATGCATTTGATGCCCCCATTCACTTTATGAAATGGATTAAAAAACAAAAAACAAAACCTCCTCAGTTTAAGAAATATGTCTAAATAGCATTACTTCTAACACACACATATATATGTATACACACACACACATATATCATCCACAAGATGTCTTACTCTAAAGAAAAGAAGCAACCCATCATATATATATATAAAAACATACCATTCACACAAACTGATCTCTGCTAATGAAATCATCAAAATTTCCCTTAGGGTTTGAAATCAGTATGATCATCCCATGCTATGTTGAGATCAGTAGAGACCAGTGTACCAATATCATCCCAATTCCAATAGCTTGGCATGTCCATGACACTGCTTGTAGAAGAAACCTGCCATGGCTGAGAAATAATGCTGCTTGTTCTTGGCATGCTCTCCTCCACAGTTTTCAACTCTCCAGAGCTGTTGTAACCATTCAAGGACTGAAAATAGGTTGAAACTAAAGATGGGTTGGTGTCAACATAGCTCGAGCTTTCAAAAGGAAAGTGTAAATTCTGATTTTGAGGTACCAATAAACCGCTCGAACATGTAAAGTTGCCACAAAAACTCCGATCACCACCCATATGGGTATTATTACTTTTGATCACGGCTGTCGAAATAGTACTACTGGCCGTGGTGGTGACAGTGGCGGTGGTGGTGGTGTTTGATTTCTTGTGCCGCTTATTTTTGTGAGCCCCACCAACGGGGATGTCGCGAAGAGCGCCACCTTTAGTCCAGTGCCTCTTGCAAGCTCTGCAGAAATGGCGAGGCTGCGACTTGTTGTAATTGTTGTAGTAACAGAATTTTGTGTTTGTAGAGCTACACCTCGGACATGCCACTGCCTCTGATTGTTGTCGCGGTTGTCGCCTCACCGGATTAGCTTTCAGCATCTCCATAGTTCCGGACTGCAACAAGGTCTGCCCACAATCCAGCTCATAGTCACCAGAAACCAGTTTTGTACTCAAACCCATCTCCAAATTCACACACAAAAGCTCTAAAAAGCAAAAAAAAAAAAAAAAAAAAAAGAAAAGAAAAAGACTTTGTGATGATATTGCGAATTGGTTTGTGCAATAGGGTGATGATAAATGAGCATGTATAATATATATATATATATATATATATATATCAATCTCTTTCTATACCTATCAATATATATGATCCATCTATCTGTAAAAGGAATAATAATGAGAGAGAGAGAGAGAGAGAGAGTTTATATTGCTTGAGGTTGTATGGTCCAAGATGGTTCTGATTGATATATGCGAGGTGTAGTGTAGTATTTGGTTGTGCCTTGGCAACTGTATAAAAATATACAACTTGCTATTCTTCTAATAATAGTAACTCTATTCCCCTCTCCACGCTAATATATACATATGTGTGCGTGTATATGATATATATATATATATATATATATATATATAAAATTGTAGTGTGTGTTACTTAGTCTTTAAGGAGACACGTGGATGGTCTCATCACCATTCGTAGTGCTTTGTGTTTATGGATGTAAAGTGGACGTAAATCTTCATGCCAAATATAATATACTACGGAATACTATATATATATATATAATATATATACACACACACGAATAGTCGTTTTTGATTGGGGTATAGGAGCTAAAGAAATAAAGTTGGCATGAGGGGGTGCAAAATAGTCTAAATAGGCATGACATAGTCAGTGGTCTCATCCGGTTTTCTGCATTCCTGTTTTATAGCATGAAAGAGATGTAGAGAGAGAAAATGGTCGGTGAAATGTCTGCTGCATGTGGGTGACTTTGTACTCAGTAGTTGGGAGAAAGTTGGCCTAGTAGATGGGCCCGTCAGACCCACTGATGGCTAGCCATAGTATGAAAAAATTACTAGTGGAGGGAGTATTCGGATTCACTATCAACTAGGTTTCTGAATCATATTAATAAAAAAAAGGAACTTTAACATATAATTAGAGTTAGTAAAACTATATTACTAAATTATTTATGTAATTCGCATATTTACTATATCATGAACTAAAAGTGAAGTCTTTCAATTTTAATCCTTATAGATTAAAATTATATTTTCATCCCTGAAAACTTATTTTACGTTCAATTTCACCAAAGAATAACTTTTAGAAATTCTAAAAGTGACGTCTTTCAATTTTAATCCTTTTATAAGTTAAAATTATATTTTCATCCCTAAAAATTTATTTTACGTACAATTTCACCAAAGAATAACTTTTAGAAATTCTAGAATTTCTAAAAATAGCACTTTGAAATAAACAATGATATTAAAAATATTTTAGAAAATTAAAAAATAATTATAGATTATTTAAAATCTTTAAAAACAGATATCCAAAGATTATTACAATAATTTTATGAGCACTAGTAATCTTGATTATCTAATAGTTTTAGCTGAACTTTATAAAATTGACAAAGACTCTGTAAGATTTACAAGTTTTAAGACAGACGTACAATCAACTAATATAAATATTAGACAAAATAACTTTTTAATCCAGTTATTATCCAAGTTATCTAAAAAAGTTAACAAACTTGAAGAAAAATTAGAAGTAATACAAGAAAGAATTCATAAAGAATCTTCTAAAGAATTATCTGAATTATCTGATAAAATAAAAGATTTAAAGTTATCAACTAATTCCTTCTCGACTAAAACCACCAAGCGTGTAAATCTTTTACAATCACATGGAGAATGACCATTGTCCTTAGAAAAGCCAAAGAAATAATGAGGGTAGAAGATCTATATGATAATGAGCACGATGCTCAAAATTATATAGAAAAAGGAATGAAGAAAGCATCTAATAAAGTTAATCTTTATTCTAATAATTTACTAAATTTTAAAAGCAATATATACAATCATATTAGCCAGCGAAGGATAAGTGTAGTAAATAACCAGGTAATTTTAGATCTCATAACGTCAGAGGCTTGTCAGGAGCTGAAAAAAAGGAAATTAGAGCTTATGCATTTAGGAGTAATAATGATCGAAATAGTAGGATTAAATAGATCAGAAGTAGGAATTAGAGCACTCACATATATTTATGATGATCGATGGAATAACCATCAATAAGCACAAATAGCTAGCGCTAAAATAGATCTAACAGCCAACGCAGCCATTGTCGGATGTATTCCTAATTTCACGATGACCATTGGAGAATTTAGTAAACATATAAAAATAGGTACGTCCACAAAGGGATATAATATGACTGGACAGTATGAAAATTTATTAATTAATACTTTATTTGTGGGAAAAACAGTTAATCAATATAATTTAAAGTTCGAAGCTCAATTCAGTGAAATAGTTAAACCTTTTAATAGTAAATATGTCCAGATGATAGAAGCTAGAAAAATAAGTAGTATAACCCATAAAGGAACAGAATGAGAATTGCCAAATCTTACAAAAACAACCAAAAAGATTCCCGAAAACAATATGATATATATAAAACATAGTGGAGAAGCTAGTATAAGGTTTAGTAATTATAAAAGACAAGATAAGTTAACAGATGATATCAAAGAATAATTTTTAACTACTTTAGTAGAAATAGAATCTCCCGAAGAAATAAATGTTCTTTATGAAAATTAGAAGATGAAATTCTAGATAAAATAATGTATGATTTTGACAATTTAGAAGTAGAAGACTTACAAAATAAGTATCAAGAACCTAAATACAAACTTATAAAAGTATTTACCTAGGACAAGGAAATAACGATGATATTAAGAGAAATATTCTAAACGTAGGACTTGAAATCTTTTATACAACCTATGAGTTAAACGCATTAAAAGAGGAATTAAATGTAGTAGAACATAGAGAAAGAAAAGAACCAGAATGATCAGCTTCCCATTCAGTTGACCAAGAGATTCCTAACGCCATAGGTAGTACAAATACCATAAACGATGATTATACCACTGGACAACGGTTAAATCCCACACAAGAAACCTATGTAGAAAATAGAAATATATTAGATATATACACATCGATACAAAATCATAGACATTGCGATAATATACCAGTGCAACAAGCAGGAACAATTCTAGACATATCATGGCACGATCCCCAAGATTGGACAAAAGTAATCGAAAATTGGGAACAAGATTATATTTGGCAATCTATTCTAACCAATTTTGATAATAAAACTCAAGCCATAACTTATTGTGAAACTTTATTAAGGGAACAATCCATGATTGGTGGCAGTCGCACAAAGTAACATATCCCAATGATTATACCCTTTTACGCGATAATTTTACAAGTCAAGGTTTTACCAGCCTAATAAAAAATGTGCTAGTTGGATAACGAAACTCTAATAAAGCAAAATGAAACTTTACGTAACTTAGAATTACTACAAATTGCGATTTTAGATATACAAGGGATTAAACTAATAAGTTTTTCAAGTATTTCGCAGCCATAGGCAAAACAGGAGATAAAACTCTAATCGATGGGTATCTTTATAAATTACCAGGAAGTGTAGGAACTAAGATATGAGAAAAATGGTTAGAAAATCTCAGACGAGATATGTTAATCATAGGAGATAGAGTAAATCATGTTTATAATATGTTAAAAGTTGAATGTAGACAACGTAAATAATCTAAACAAATCAAAAAATAATTTTATTATACGTGTAGGCAAATAGACTTTCTACCACAGTATGATTGTATACCTCAGAAAAATTATAATTATAAGCGTAATAAACCTAAAAAATATAATTTACGCAAAAGTAAGACCTACAAAAATTACCGTAATAAAATACCTTATTTTTAAAATAACCCTAGACAATTCAAAAAATGGCAGTGGTATAAAAGACAAAGAATAAATAAAGATAATAATAAAAAGGATAGTAAAGATAGCAAGGATAATAAAGTAAACACATTACCCATAAAAGAAAGAAATTGTAAATGCTTTATTTGTGGAGATTCAGGACGCATAAGACTAAATTGTCCTTATAAATACAAACAGAATTCTATCAAAAAAATATAGGAAAAGATCAATATACTTGAAGATATTGAAGAACAGATAGAAGAATTATATGAACTGGAAAGTATTTATGATTCCGAAGCTGACAATGAAAGTATATATAGTATCGAAAGCATAGACATCGACTTTGATAATAGTGAAGACTTTGAACAAGGACTTCATTCAATGGAAGATTTCATTTACACTATAAGCAATCCATCATGTCAATATACTTTAGTTAATTTTCATTTTTTATCTTACAATTGTAAACAATGTAGTACATCTATTAAAGAAGGTCATTACTGTAAAGACCACTGTACAACTTTATTATGTCACGACTATTACACAAAATATGAAGATAAGCAAGAAGTTATTTTACTCGAATCTATAAATTATATATATAAATCATCTAGTCTAATCCAATACCCGGTAACGTTAGAATTTTTAAAAAAAATTATTTCAAACCTCAGTTATGTTAGATACTGGAGCATCTAAAAGTATAATTCAAAAGCATTTAGTACCTGAAGAATCATTGATAAAGTTAAATTATAATGTTAATATGAGTCAATATAATAATAAAAAACTCCCAATAACTCATTGTATTCAAAATATTCCTATACTAATTAACAATGAAAAATTTATTTTACCACAGACTTATATAGTTAATAATATTACTAGTACTTATTATTTATTTTAGTATTAAATTTTATAAATTCACTCACGGGAGGATTCATATATACCCCTACAGGTTTACAGTTCTTTAAAAAGGGAACATTTATTCCATCCAACCCTCCTTATATTCCTCAGAAAGAAAAAAGAGTTATTACTTATGTCAATACTTTACCTATGACAGAGAAAACTACAGAAAACTTATTTGACGTGACCAAATTTTTAGAAGATGTTTCTGAAGTATTAATATTTCTTAGTCATCTAGATAAACCAAAAATTTTCCTTAATAATAAAGCTATATTAAAAAAAATCCTAAATTAAATATAGATAATCTTTTAAAACTAGCTGAAATCACTAAGATTTTAGAAGAAGGTCCCCAAAACATTGGTATAAAAACAAAATCGAAGCAAAATTGAATATAATAAATCCTTTCATAACTATAAAAACTCAAGATAATCCTTATACCCTAAATGATCAAGAAGAATTCCAAAAACAAATCAAAGAACTTCTATTACTAAAGGTAATACGAAAAAGTAATAGTAGACATAGTAGTCCAACTTTTATGGTTAGAAATCATGCCGAAATAAAAAGAGGAAAAACTCGTATGATTATAAATTATAAAAGATTGAACGATAATATTTATGATGACAGTTATAAAATTCCTAATAAAGATGTCTTAATAAATCGTATACAAGATAGAAAATGGTTTTCTAAATTTGACTGCAATTCAAGATTTTGGCAAA